TTATGAATTAAGATTATGATAATAATTTGCGTAACAATTTATTAAATACTTTATATTAATTTCAATATAATATTAATTTTAAACTATTTAGTAGTCTTTGTGTCAATGAAAGTGGCGGCGAATCTTGTTTTATAATAGTTGATAGGAATTGATAGAAAATTGAGATTTCATTGGATTTCAGTCTATTTAATATAAATTCATAACCCGGATCACTTGCCACAATATTACTTTCTATAGACTAGTCTTTGTATTTATCCAACACTTGCCAACAGTCCGGCCCTTTATGCCATTTGAGGCCACAATCCATTGAATCCAATATTGTTTTCAATTGAAACACCGGTGCGTTTAGGATAGCATGTGTTGTTGAGTAGGGTATCGGACTATTATTATAATCAAAATTATTAGAAATATTAAAAATAATTGAAATTATATATAAATACTTGTCTAGATCAATTTCTTGGAGTGTAATGTTAAATATTTCGCCACCAATTAAACCCACGGCAAAGACATCGCATTTGTGGTTATACTTCTTAATTATTTTTCACTTTAATTCAAATGAATTAATTTATAGATATTGTTAGGAATCACATAAAATAAAATAATTATGTATGTACGTATTAATTGCTATATATTATCATATATTATACAATATATAATAACTTAATATTTTTAAAATTATTAAAAATAATTGTTTATTAAATAAATTATATTTAAAACTAATTTAATTGTTAGTTTACTGAACAGTATTGTAATAAATGAATGCAATTGTTGTTCACAAATAGATTGTGTTATTATAGCAACAGATATGCAATCAATTCACTCGTAGTCTTAATTGTCTTTAATGTACAGTATATCATAGGGTTATAGAGTCCTTCAAGAGTTACAGTATATGATACAGGTAATTACATTCAATATTTTTTCTTAACCTTTGAATTGTTAGACAATTTAGATAATCTATACGACTTTAGTAATTTATTTTTATTCAATCTTATTTATTTCTCTCATAATTAAAACAATTATTGTTTAGTAAATTTAATACATTAGCATTCATTTATCATTTAACTATTTTTAAGTTTTTTAAGTACTTTTCGTTTCAGCAACAGTCGTGTAAATTTGTTTTGAATATTTTTGGTTTGTAGTAAATTATAAAATAATAAGTTTTCATTAGATTTAAGTCTATCTAACGTGTACTCAAACTCAGGATTATGTGTCACAATATTCCTATCGATAGACCATTTGTGACATTTAGCCAACACTTCACTACAATCGGGCCTTTTATTCCAGTTCAACGAAACCATTGTTGACAATATTTTGTACAATTTTGACACTGGATAGTTTAGTGTTTTATTACTTGATGAGTATTGCTTTGTGCTAAAAATATTTGATGAAATTATATTAAAATAATGTATATTATAGTAATTAGCATTATCACTTAAATAAATACTAAATAAATGTGAAAAATTTGGTGAAAAATATTTATATACATGGTTCATTATATTACAATATATGCTATTTAAGTACAACTTTATAAACTTGTTATCCATACTCATAATATTTTTTAACTACGGCAATATTTCTTACCATTTATTTAGTATTATTTTAAATGATATATTTTAAATTACTTTTTGGGCTCAATAAGTACAACATCCACGTCAAATATTTCACCACTTATTAGTGCCAGGCTATAGATGTCGGATTTGTGACCGTATTTTTTACCCTGACCAATTTCTGGAGCCTGATATCTCAAGTCCCCGATATCTGACGTATGTTTTCGCGTAGACCTGTAGTGAATGCGTTTGTCGTGAACTGTAGCCAAGCCAAAGTCACATAACTTAACAAATCTACCGTTCCTTATATTTTCAGCGATCAATATGTTGTCGGGTTTGAGGTCTCTGTGAATGATCTGTGGATTCAATTCATGTAAATATTGAACGCATTCTAAGATCTGTCGAAATATTTCACACGAAATGAAATACTCGTATAAATCCATGGGATCTCCCGATTGTCTCTCAANGAAATGAAATACTCGTATAAATCCATGGGATCTCCCGATTGTCTCTCAAATACTTGTGGTTTGACTTCAAGAATATTCGTTAAATTCTGTGAACAGAACTCCATTTGTATGAACAGACATCCAGTTTCACGCCATGAGTGGTAATATTGGACCACATATTCAGACTTAACTTTCACTAAGTTTTCCACTTCTCTAAACACTTTAACACTTTCTATTTCATCAAGATCTAATTAAGAAAATTTTATTAATTAAGCTAACATCAAGTAATTATTAAGTTGAAAAAATTATTTAAAAATACCTTTATATTGTATCCGTTTCACAGCATATACCTGTCCATCGTATGCGTGTCTCACAGAGAATACTATGCCAAAACCACCCTGTCCAATTACAGACAACTCATCAAACGTGTTCACATAATATGCATCGAAAAAAGTTTGATATAAATAATTGTTGCTAGCTAATGTTTTGTATGTAATTTGCACCTCATTTGTGTAGAAATCACTGAAACTATAATATTGTGTTGCAATCATTTTATTTGTTCCTGTTAATATAAATACATTATCGTCCCGTATAGCAATTATGCATTCATTAGAAAAGTAGCAAGTTGCTTCTAAATTTATATGCGATAAATCTTGGAAATCGCCACTAGATTTAAATTGTACGGGTTCATTTGCCGTTATATATTTTGTACCTTGTTGATAATATCCACAAAAATATATGAAACCATTGTTTGATAGGAAATAAGTCATAGTTATTGATGAGGCGATAGTTTTGATATGGTTTAGAGTAGATATCAATCGTGGAGTTGATAAAAAGTCGCTTGCTACATTATGTCCCAAATGTTGGGAACCATTGTCACCCCAACTGTACACAAGTCCGTCGCAAGTGATGGCAAATGATTGATAATAATTGCAATAAATTGTTTGAATTTTCGGACTATACGTGAATTGTATGAGAATTGGTTTGCAAATCATATCCTTTTGATTGTCACCACAGCCTACCTGTCCCTCGGTATTTAATCCCCACCCATACACCTGTCCACTGGATGTAAGGGCCAGTGAGTGATGATAACCGCAACTGATTTGTTGGATGTATTTGTCGTCGAAATACGATATTCTCTCGGCTTTTAAATAAACCCCTTTTGGTGTCCTATCTCTACCCAACTGTCCCCACCTATTGTGACCCCAACTATATATTTGGTTCACTGTATTCATAGCCAACACAAAGTCATATCCAGTAATAAATGTTTGAATGTTTTGATGACATAATTCCGGTATAACTTGCGGTGATTGTATGGACTGGTTGTGACCCAATCCGTGACACCCGTACCCATTAGATCCCAACCCATAAACATTATCATCGTATGTGACAAAAATGATGTCATTGTTGAGCATTTCTCGATTGAAATTAAAAGTCTTAAAAATGTGAAGTTGTGACCCAATCCGTGACACCCGTACCCATTAGATCCCAACCCATAAACATTATCATCGTATGTGACAAAAATGATGTCATTGTTGAGCATTTCTCGATTGAAATTAAAAGTCTTAAAAATGTGAAATATTTTAATCATTTGCTTCATATTATGATCAATTTGATCACAAATCCAATATTTTTCTACATTTGAAAACATTTTCAATGTTTTAAATTTATTGCTGAATTTAATTATATTATTATAGTATTATAGTGTTTATTATCTGATACTCCAAAACAAACCGATGATTTTGAATTATTTGCGAGTTGAAAGCTATTTAATTGCTTGTTTATACATTATATTTTTAAAAAATAATTGTCACTTTAGCATGCTCGAAATACTGAAATGTTACATTTCACATGCATTTAATAAAATAATTTTAAATTTTTATTAATTGAACTAATTGTAAAACATTGACACAAATATTATGTTAATAACAAAATAATTAACCATTTATTGAATGCAATTGTTGTTCACAAATAGATTGTGTTATTCTAGCGACAGATATGCAATCAATTATGTTTAATACAGTAAGTGAACTAATATCTCGTAAATATTTACAATATTTTAATTTAACCTTGGAATTCAATGATATTTTATAAGGTATTATTAATTTTTATCTTATACCATTTAAATGAATATGTTATAAGTGCAATATATATATGAGATTTATAAAATTGTTGCTAAAAATTCATAGAAAAATGTGATTTATTCACGATATTTAATTTTACGTAATGTGAAGTCATATCCCGGATCATATTCGTGTCGGTAGATTGCCGGCAGTTATGGTGATAATGTAAATGGGTGCGGCTCTATTGACCTAAAAACCATTTGACCTAAACTTAAATAACTTAATGACCAGTAGGTAAATATACCA